GAGAAACGACAGTCCATCATTATTTTAAGACATGAAGGTCAGTCAATCAGGAAAATTTCAAGAACTTTGAAAGTGCAATCGCAAAAACCATCAAGCGCTATGATGAAACTGGCTCTCATGAGGACCGCCACAGGAAAGGAAGACCCAGAGTTACCTCTGCTGCAGAGGATAAGTTCATTAAAGTTACCAGCCTCAGAAATCGGCAATTAACTGCACCTCAGATTGCAGCCCAAATAAATGCTTCACAGAGTTCAAGTAACAGACACATCTCAACATCAACTGTTCAGAGGAGACTACGTGAATCAGGCCTTCATGGTCGAATTGCTGCAAAGAAACCACTACTAAAGGACACCGATAAGAAGAAGAGACTTGCTTGGGCCAAGAAATACGAGCAATAGACATTAGACCGGTGGAAATCTGTCCTTTGGTCTGATGAGTCCAAATTTCAGATTTTTGGTTCCAACTGCCGTGTCTTTGTGAGACGCAGAGTAGGTGAACGGATGATCTCCGCATGTGTGGTTCCCACCATGAAGCATGGAGGAGGAGGTGTGATGGTGTGGGGGTGCTTTGCTGGTGACACTGTCAGTGATTTATTTAGAATTAAGGCACACTTAACCAGCATGGCTACCACAGCATTCTGCAGCGATACGCCATCCCATCTGGTTTGCGCTTAGTGGGACTATCATTTGTTTTTCAACAGGACAATGACCCAAAACACACCTTCAGGCTGTGTAAGGGCTATTTGACCAAGGAGAGGGATGGAGTGTTACATCAGATGACCTGGCCTTCACAATCACCCGACCTCAACCCAATTGAGATGGTTTGGGATGAGTTGGACCGTAGAGTGAAGGAAAAGCAGCAAACAAGTGCTCAGCATATGTGGGAACTCCTTCAAGACTGTTGGAAAAGCATGAAGCTGGTTGAGAGAATGCCAAGAGTGTGCAAAGCTGTCATCAAGGCAAAGGTTGGCTACTTTGAAGAATCTCAAATATAAAATATATTTTTATTTGTTCAACACTTTTTTGGTTACTACATGACTCCATATGTGTTATTTCATAGTTTTGATGTCTTCACTATTATTCTACAATGTAGAAAATAGTAAAAATAAAGAAAAACCCTTGAATGAGTAGGTGTGTCCAAACTTTTGACTGGTACTGTATATTGTTGTGCCTTAAATGCTAAAACGTTAGCAGTGTAAACAGTGTCAGGAAAACTAAACCAAGGCATGTATTTATTTCTGCCATACCTTGTCCATAGACTGCTTGCTTACAGTGTAAGGACACCAACATGTCATTTTGTAATTTGGGTGAACTATCCCTTTAAGAATAGAATAATCAGCTCATTCATATCTAATTTAAGAAAAAGTAAACAGATTCAAATTCTTTCTTTTTATATAAAATATACAGTAATTATATCAAATACATATATTTACACCACTATTAAACAAGTAATTGCAATGATACCATACTCCAATGATTTGTCTTACATACATTACATTTTAAAATAGACTAGTGTGCAAAAAGGTCTATTGATGATTGACGATGCATTACAAACATACTGGCTGGTGATCAGACCCCATAATCAAATGAATTAAGTTACCAAATTCTCTTTAAGATTCTCTTTAAGACCCTAATTTTTTTTCAATGGTATTATGACAGTGGCTTTTATAGATGTGGCCTCAGTCAATCAGTCAGTCAGTGTCTCTCTTTCTCTCTCTCTCTCTCTCTCGCTCATCTACATACTTTTTCTGGGTGCATATATGATAACTAGTCCCCATTTATTGTAAACCAGCCAGTGTCTTTCAGCGGTGACTGTGTTCTATCACCTTCAAGTTAGGTGCAATAAATTCAGACCTTGAAACAAGTGAAGGGCTCCGAGTTCTACTTTCATTTTAGCATAGACCTCCTAGCATGGTAATATCAACCACACTGGATATCGCACCACATGTTAGTATAGCATACAAAGTCATAAGCAGAAAGCCACCAAACATTGAAACCCCCCCAGTCAGTTTCCTGTCATGCAACATGTTCTATAGGGATCTTAAAAAAGGTGTCTGTTCTTTTGTGTCATGTTTTTACTGAAGGCTTGTGCACAGTGCATTCAAACCTTTATTGCTAAAAGTATTATTATATTATTGATTGATTGACTATGACTTTTCAGATCACCCAGTAATGCTATCTGCAAGGTTAGCTCCAGGTAAATATTGCAATCCTTTAGCCATTCCTGGACCTGTGTCCAAAAACAAACTACAAATGGACAGAACCAAAACAAATGATCTAATGATTCTGTCTCTTCACAGCAAAATCTGCAGAGCTGGGAAGATTGTATCCCCCATATAAATAACATTCTATTGGTAGCAAGAATTTTATATAATAATTTAAATTGAAAGATTCTAATTTTTGAATCCTGTGTCGTTTTGCGTGTCAGTTCATAAACACTATGCCATGGGATCGGTACGTCAAAGATCTCTTCCCAACTACTTTGCAATCTATATGGGACAGCAGTCAATCCTTTGATCCTTAAGTGAAACTGATATACTTTTTTATTTATCACAGTTTTCCTTAACCAATTATGTTCTTTAATGCAAGGCCGACAGACAAGTTCCTTACTTTCTCCCCCTTCCACTTTCATCTTCCACTTTTGCGGTAAGGCTGCAATTATTTGGTTGTAATTTTGGGTAGAGCAGACATTTCCATATGTTTTTGTTAGCTGCATGTGCGACATAACTCCACCAGTCCTACCGATGATATCATTTACGAAGATTATACCTTTTTTAAACATTCTGTCAAAAAATTAAGATTTTTTGTCAATTAGTATATTTGAATTTAACCACAATATTTGTTGCATTATTTGTTCTGTCGTTTCTGGAGGATTAAATTGAAATTGCAACCAACTTTCTATGGCTTGTTTTAGCAATAGTGATATTTGGGAGATTATTTCCTTTTCAAATAACTGAAAGTGAGAGGTTGTAATCTGAATAAAGGGAAAAAGGCCTTTCTTGAACATTGGGTGAGACAATCTTACTAATTTGCTTGAGAACCAGTTCGGATTTAAGTATAACTTTTGTATGACTGAAGCTTTTAGTGATAGGTCTAATGCTTTAATATTTAATAATTTCTGTCCTCCGAATTCATATTCATTATATAAATATGCCCTTTTAATTTTGTCTGGCTTGCCGTTCCAAATAAAATTGAATATTTTTTTCTCATATAATTTAAAAAACTGTTCGCTAGGCGTAGGCAAGACCATAAGCAAATAGGTAAACTGGGATAATACTAAAGAGTTAATCAGGGTGATTTTTCCACAAATTGACAGGTATTTTCCTTTCCATGGTAGTAAGATCTTATCTATTTTTGCTAACTTTCTATAAAATTTTATTGAAGTGAGATCATTTATTTCCTTTGGGATATGTATTCCGAGTATATCCACATCACCATCAGACCATTTTATTGGTAAACTACATGGTAATGTAAAAATTGTATTTTTTAGTGATCCAATACGTAATATAGTACATTTGTCATAATTTGGTTGTAATCCAGAGAGGTTAGAAAATGTATCTAGATCCTCTATGAGGCTGTGGAGGGATTCTAGTTGTGGATTTAAAAGAAAACATGAATCATCAGCGTACAATGACACCTTTGTTTTTAAGCCCTGTATTTCTAATCCTCTGATATTATTATTGGATCTGATTTTAATAGCTAACATCTCGATGGCCACAATAAATAGATATGCCGATAGTGGACAACCTTGTTTCACTCCTCTTGACAGTTTAAAACTTTCTGAGAAATAGCCATTATTTACTATTTTACACCTAGGGTTCCTATACATGATTTTGACCCATTTTATAAGAGATTCTCCTAAATTGAAATGCTCCAGGCATTTATATATAAACCCCAGTCGAACTTTATCAAATGCCTTTTCGAAGTATGCTATGAATAGCAGGCCTGGTTTCCCATATTTTCCATAGGGTTCTATTGTTTCCAATACTTGCCTTATATTATCTCCAATGTATCTTCCATGTAAAAAACCTGTCTGATTAGAATGAATAATATCCGACAATACCTTTTTAATTCTATGCGCTATACATTTGCTAGGATTTTTGCATCACAACACTGAAGTGTAAGGGGCCTCCAATTTTGTAAATGGACTGGATCTTTATATTTTCCACTTGTATCCTGTTTCAGTAATAATGAGATAAGACCTTCTTCTTGAGTGTCAGATAATCTACCATTTACATAGGAGTGGTTAAAACATGCTAATAACGGTCCTCTTAGTATATCAAAAAAGGTTTGGTATACCTCGACTGGTATGCCATCCAACCCTGGAGTTTTCCCGGACTTAAAGTCTTATTGCATCCAGAAGTTCCTCCTCTGTAATTTCACCTTCACATGAGTCTTTCTGTGTGGCTGTTAATTTGACATTATCAATAGAAAAAAATTCTCTACAATTAGCTTCAGTTAGAGGAGATGGAGGCGACTGAAAAGAAAACATATGCTTAAAGTACTTTGTTTCTTCCTTCAAAATATAATTTGGTGAATTATGGGTGACTCCGTCAATTGTAACCAACTTATAAGAACTTAGATGAGCTCAGAGAGCAGACTTGGCCTGTAGTAGGCTATATGCACCTTTTAATGGAACCTGTTTTTTAAAGAACTGGTTAATCCAACAAGTGACTGCTTCAAGAGCTTCTGTTGTTAGCGCACCAAGACATCAAACTATCTTTAAGTCATTCTTCTGCCAAGCTTAGTAATGAAAATGTCCCTCCCAGGGTGATTCAGTGTTGGAACACAAAGAGCAGCAGGTAGTGTGTTTACATGGCAAGCAGGGTTGGATCAATTCCATTTCAATTCAGTCAATTCCTATGGGAATTTCAGTTTACTCCATAACTTTACTGCATTGAAATGGAATTCACCCCAACCCTGACGTCAAGGGATGGATGATTGGGAGGGTGGGCTACTCTTCAGACGGACCAGATTTTGAACCCAGGTTGTCAAGTTTATGTTAGCCCTCTGAGCTAAAGCCTATCTAGGAGCTAATACCACCTCAGCTTCACTCTCATGCCTCATACACTCTCATAAAATTGTAAATTGTAGAGGCAATATTGTTTTTTGACAACGCTGTCAGTCAGAGATATGCCCATGGGTACAGTATATGATACAACTCTGTCACAAGCAGAAACTGTAACGAGATCCAATACCCATGGCATATTCATTTGTTTGTTGACACATCTAACACTTGTCAGACTCAATTGGTTTTCTTGTCAAGGTTACACCAGGTAAATAACCCTGGCTTACCCTTAGCTGCCACCCGGGTTCTCTTTCCACATCCCCTCAAGGTACACTGAGGCTCTGTTTTGAGTACTGAGCGCATCCGTGATCGTCATACAATGTGGATGGTCTCAACCCTTCAGTCTCTGTATAGGAGAGTCCATCCAGATGGTTGTGGGATCAGTCAGTTGATGATACCAGCGAAGGTGTTGATTGGAAGAGGAAGTCCTTTGTTCATGTACTTGCTGAGGCCAGCGTCCCTCTCCTCTTCCCCCAAACTGAACTTGGACCGCATGGTCTTCTGGACACAGTACCCAGGATCAAGACAGGGGGTGATCTCTATGCTGGAAATGAATTCATTGATAGAGGACATGTCAAATTATGAGCGTTAGATAAGTATGTTTGCCCGTTTTATTTGGGCTTTAGTGACATTGAACATTGACTGAGGATTATAATATGACACTTTTAAAAGCATATACAGTATGTGCATTTAGTTATTTACATATAACATATATACTGTAACATGACACAATATATATAATATATACTGTAACATGACACAATATATATATAATTTATACTGTAACATGACACTATATATATAATTTATACTGTAACATGACACAATATATATAATTTATACTGCAACATGACACAATACATATAATATGTGCATATGTAGCTAAAACATATACAGTATGACTAGGGCAAATCAAATGAGGTTAGACCAACATGGTTCAGAAGAAACCTTCTGGTAACAAGATCATCTGTCTATCCACCAAACCACTGACCTGTTTTCATCTATTTAAAGTTGACATGGTAGGCCTACCGTTGGCAACAGCTACACCAACAGCTCTCACCTCTGTACGTCTTTGAAGGTCCTCCTAGAGTCTTTGTCCAGGGTCACAGTAAAGGTTTTCATCTCCAGGGTTCTGATCTTAATGTTACAGGTACGGATCTTGGCCTCCTGTGGAATTAAGTTTATGTGTTAGGTTTGGTTTTAGGTTTATGAGTTCATAAGCGATGTGGCCACAAGGCTTAGTAAAGCGAACCAGGCCTTTGTGATCTTAAGAACAATATGGAGACCCAAGAACATCAAGAGGATTAAGTAAATATGTTTATGAATTTTATAACAACCTTCACTAACAGAAGTCTTTGTGTTAAAATTGTGTAAACTTACCATGGTGTTCTTGGGTTTAGTTTCGTTGAAAGCTACTGTAAGACAGTTCAGATCTGAGGACAACAAAGGAACAAGAACATAAGCCAGGCCTCAACAAATATACAGAATAATATGGGAAAAGTAGTAGACATTTCAGAACTTATTTTTACATTCACACAATTGTATCAATTTTAACAGCATGAACATGCACTACTTTTTTACACTGTGACTTTGCCCACTGGCCACACACTGGCTGAATCAACGTTGTTTCCATGTCATTTCAATGAAATGACGTGGAACCAACTTGGAATAGACGTTGAATTGACGTCTGTGCCCAATGGGTGACAACTTAGCTACCACTGATCATAATACAGTTGAATCTATCAATTAATTACATTAATAGCGGTATTGTGTGTGATATTTAATGTTGTATACCTTCAGTTTCATTGGAGGGAATGGCACTAATCTGAGCACCTGAGGTCCTCACTGACATACCCTTATCTACGTCTCTACCACTCAACGACACCTGGAGAGGAGGACAGAGACACAGGTCAGAGGTCATAGAGAGAAACTAACACCTAAACGTCAAATACAGGTTATATGATCTTTCTTCAGGTCAGTTCACTCTCATGATGCAGTTCAAAACTCTAAACGGAGACAAACAGACATTGCATGAACAGTATCAATCACAAACACTATCAAAATAGAGCTAAACGTCAAATACAGGTTATATGATCTCTCTTCAGGTCAGTTAAGTTCACACTCATGAAGCAGTTCAAAACTCTAAACAGAGACAAACAGAAGTTGCATCAACAGTATCAATCATTAGCTTTATAGTCAGCTACAGCACTTTTACATTGATGTACATTGATGAGGTAATATTTAAAAAACGGTTGAACTTCGCTGACCTTTGTGTAGTTTACAGAGACGACAGCACCACATACATCTCCAGTGTTCTTCTTCTGCTTGATGGTCATGGCTGAGAGAGGGAGGACAGACGTGATCAGACCGGACGAGCGACATATACACGTGCACACACCAATGCATGCACACACGTACACACACACTTTAAATCAGTTTAAAAAACATCAGATGCAGAGAATGTTGAGTGCAGCGATCAGCGTACACAGGCTAAATGTTACCTTTCAAAGTAGCTGGGGACTGTTTGAACTCGGGGAAGTCCAGCTCTAAGTGAGAGAGAAACACGTCCTCCACTGGGTCCTTGGTCAGGTTGGAGAAGGAGATCTAGAACATAGTCAAGGGGATGACAAACAAACACCAGTGGATTTTTTATCGGACAATCGTGGCTCAGTTGGTAGAGCATGGCGCTTGCAACACCAATGGTTGTGGGTTTGTTTCCCGCTGGGGCCACCCGTATGTAAAAATGTATGCATACATGACTGTAAGTCTCTTTGGATAAAAGCGTTTGCTAAATGGCATATATTTATAATATATTACAATTCAGATAATGTGCACTCTTGCATTTGGTGTTTTTGGTCTATGAGTGAGGACTGATAATCATGAACATGCTAGAGGACTAAACGTAAACTATGCTCAGTCCATTGCTGCAGACTTAACTGTCATTATATCACACAATGAACAACAGACAGTGGTAGAGAGATTCTATAGTATATAGGCGATAACCAGAGCTGTTTGTAAAGCATATGGCTATGTTTGTGTTCCAAATGGCACCCTATTCCCTTTATTGTGTACTGCTTTGGACCAGGACCCACAGGGATCTGAATAGGGTGCCATTTCAGATGCATCCTATGTCTCCTCACCTTGACAGAATAGATGGTGAAGTAAACAGGCTGCAGTCCGGTCCGCACGTAGTAGGAAATTACATCAGACAGGAAGGGGTTTGGCTCTGCCTGCTTGCTGCTGTTGGACTGCTGGAGAGAGATAGGCTCATGTTAGTAAGGAGCCTGGGGTTGACCAAGACAGATAGGGGTACAAATAAAAGTAGCTTTTTAATACACTGAATGATCATGTTTTGGAAGGAACTATATTTCACTGATGTAGAGACACAGGAGAGGAGCGTTTGTTTTGTTTATTGTGCTCTTTGATCATGGGATGATACTATAGAAAAAATAAGGGGTTAATGCTGTGATCCTCTGTAGCTCAGCTGGTAGAGCACGGCGCTTGTAACGCCAAGGTAGTGGGTTCGATCCCCGGGACCACCCATACACAAAAATATATAATATATGCACGCATGACTGTAAGTCGCTTTGGATAAAAGCGTCTGCTAAATGGCATATTATATTATAATGCTGGATAGTAAACAATGCCGGAAAAGCCTTGGCGCAAAGAAACTTCCAGAAGTAATCAAGGCACTCTCATGTAGTGGAAAAATTCAAAAGCCTTTATTGTTTTACGGCTTATGCATGACAATAATAAAAAACCCACCGACGCGTTGCAATAAAGGCTTTTTCATTTTTCCACTACATGAGTGCCTTGATTACTTCTGGAAGTTTGTTTGTACCAAGGCTTTTTTACTTTGCAGCGTCAACTTATTTTTGTTCTATTTCCCTCATGTTGTAATTCATTATAGGTCATTATTGATTGGAAACTACAGCATTAAACAATGATAACCTGACCCTGTGCTCCTGCTACGTTTCACAATCTTTTCCCCGCAATACTTCCCTATACTGTGTCATTCAGTTTCTCTTCCCTCTATCCAGCTAAATGCTGATGACCAATAACAGCAAAACTATTTGCATACAGTACTCATAGCTTGTTAGTTTCGATAAGAGCCCACAGATGTTTTTTTCGCTTCCTGTAAGCAAGCAACTACTGTAAAGTACTGTGCAATTTCCTTTGGTTTTGCTAATCATTCAAGATGCCTAGCAACATGCAAACAGTAATTTGTGGACATTTATTTTATGGTCCCGACTCCCAGTTGCAGAGCATAAACCACATTCAACATAACCACACATAACTTTATCTACTGTAGATCAGACCTACTTTAGATTAGACTAGTATTTTGTTTACTCATAAAATCCTGAAAGCTACACTTGATTGGTCCAATGAAACCAATGGAATAGTCCTGAAAGTGCAAACCCTATCCATCTAGAATTCCAGGCAGGCACAATCAAAGTATCAAAAGAGAACAGAAACACTATTTGATGCTGTCATTTCAACATAACGTAGAAACAGTAGGTTACTGTACCATTTTGGCCAGCTTGGGGATCATGGAGCCCAGACTGTTGATGTTGCAGTCGTACCATGGATCCACCATTCCCAAGTAGGAACCCAGGGCACAGGGGTTGTCCCGGGATGGGGAGAGGTTTTCCTGATAGAGAAGTACAACATGGTATATTATAGATACACTACTGTATTAAACTGTTAGGGTTACTCAACTACAGCCAAGTTAAGTGTAAAACCAGAGAACAACATTAACCCTTTACACTCGTGGGAATTGGCCTATATGGATAGGGCTAAATTGAAATGCTTCTTACAGAAGAAATATAAACAAACATATGCATAACCATGGTAGCAATTGAAAGGGAACAGTTTGGAGATTATGGGAAAATTATAATACCAAAGTTGAGGACACAGTTCACCTGACACAAGATTGAATCCAAACATTACACTGTTGATTTAATGCGTATTTTACATTTACTGTACTTTTCGCCACATTTATTGATAACAGAATCTCTAAAAAATACTCTGAATACATTCAATAACATGATAAGAATATTCCTGGAAAATGTGAGGTAGGTGCAACATAAGACAAAAAAAATTGTCTCCAAGTGGCCACACACCTCTCCAAAGTGTGCTCAGTTTCTAAGTAATTTCAATGCATTTTTATGACTCAAAGAAGAGTCTTCAACTATAAGGTGCTTTTTTGAGCTCTCCTAGCTGTGCCGTTGAGGAACTACAGCAAGCAGACTTGTAGTTGTTTTGTTTGGAACACAATACTGCATCACCACCATCACATAATTACTGTTGTTGTTTACGCAATCCAAAGACGGACCATTATAAATCGCAATCTGGGTCAGGTGGTCATCATTTGAAAGCTTGTTCTATTGCCAACATGACTAGCTAAGTTATAAAATACGATCTTACAGTGTTAGGCTTTCACAGGGCAATTCAGAGAACATATCGTAATTTTGGTGCGCATCAAAAGGAGTCATGCGTGCATTCAGGTGCTGTCAACGGGTGCTGAAGGTGGGTGTGGTGTGTGAATCAGGCGCAGGACGCAGAGGCTCAGTCCAAAGGCTTTAGTGCAATATTCACAAAATACATAAGCACAATAAGCCCGAAGGCGAATACACGGCGCACACAGGCGACAAAACAAACGGCGCACTAACATGTGCAAAAGAACCTCTCCAAAACACTGGAGGGAAAATAGTAGCTCCAACACGAAACAGAAGAGCAATCACACACAAAGACACACACAACCAACGAGAACTAAATAGGACACTAACGAGGACTAACAAGACACAGCTGTACAACATCAAGACAAAACCAAACGAACATGAAACATAGATCGGTGGCAGCTAGTACTCCGGGGACGACGACCGCCGAAGCCTGCCCGAACCAGGAGGAGGAGCAGCCTCGGCCGAAACCGTGACACGTGCATTCAGCTGCGTGTTCCGTGACGGATTTTCTTCATAATAGACAAACATCCCATTGGGCACAGACGTCATTTCAACGTCTAGTTTTGATTTACATTTGATTGAGTTGTCAACTAATGTGAATTCAACGTGAAATCAACAAACAATGTCACTACATCATTAGATTTATGTTGATGACTTTTTTCAAATCCAATCAGTTTTCCACCTTAATTCAACATCATCACATAGATTTTTTGTTGTTGAAATGGCGTGGAAACAACATTGATTCAACCAGTTTTTGCCAAGTGAGATTCTGTTCAGAACAACCCAGGGTATGACACCATGCTTCTACATCTGCATTGCTTGCTGTTTGGGGTTTTAGGCTGGGTTTCTGTATAGCACTTTGTGACATCTGCTGATGTAAAAAGGGCTTTATAAATTCATTTGATTGATTGATGTCATCTTGTAACTGTACATCAAACACAGTGATCATACATTTTGACAGTATATTACATGAGTTTTATGATATGGAAATGTGAAGTGCACATTTTGACATTTTGGTGTTTTGCTTGTATGACATCAAAGTAGTATTTATTATAATTCTCAACATCTTATCTTTCAAAATACATCGAGTCCTCTTAATTGACAGAATTTCCCTCACTCAGACAACAAAACATTTCAAAAGTTGTCCAACTAGCAGGAGGGATGGGGGCAACTTCTTGCTGCGCGTGGTGCTGAAGTTCAGAACAGCTGTCAGTCAAAACCCATACAGCGCTGTGAAGCACAGAGCCTGAGCTCTGATGTCATTTACAGCATATTACTGTACAGCCACTATGTTCCAATATAGGCCCTTATTAGTGCCCAAATCTGCCATTTCAACCTACATTCTTTTGATGTGATCATTTCACATACTGTGTGTGGGTGATCACATACTGAAACACTGAAATGAGTCATATCTTTGTCTCTTGACAGGTTGTAAACGGATAGGAGTGAGGTGTTAGTTTGTGGTCTTACTTTGACAGGACAGGTGGGACTGGTATCTTCACAGACAGGGATGTAGTAAAACTGGAAGTTGACTTTCATCGTCAGAAAGAGACGACGCGCTTCCCTTTTCCTGCAGAGGGAAACCAATGATTAATAAACCCTAAAACCATGCTACACAGGAAACCAAAATGGCTGTAATAACCAGTCTTGAGTTAGTCGGAATAATCCCATTGTATATTTCTGACGCATTAACTATTAATGTGTCTTGTTTTCAATTCAACTTTCTTCTTCCTGACTAGACCATGGAAATGCAAATATGGACTGTTAGTTTCCGATTCCATTTTTGGACATTAGGAAATAAAACATTTTCAACAGCATAGTATAAGGCTAACCAAACTGAGATGTTGTAGGTGGAACTGTCTCCAAAAACTGTACTATGATAATTTCTAACAGAAATCTATCATATCCAGTATCCATTCTAATATATCTAATATCCACTACAAACTACATGCAGTCTCCCAGACTACATTACCCATGATCCTTGTCCCTCACCTGAGAAAGTAGAAGGCCTTAGCCAGCTTCCCCAGCACCCTGTCGTCCCCCATCACCACGATCCGGGCCGTGAAGTGCCTCTGCTGCTTGGAGAATGAGGGGGTCCCGCTGCACCCCGCCTTCCTCTGAAGTTTCCCCCCTCCAATGGCTGCCCCTCCCCCGGCCACGCTCCCACTCTCCTCCAGAGCGTCCTGCATCAGGGCCATATGGTCCGTGACTGACGGCCTCATCTTGATGCCTCCTCGTCGGGTTAACCTGGCCTCCCCCTCCTCCAAACCACCAGAGGGTTCTACCACTGATGGCTCAACCCCAGGGGGAAGATCCCTCTCGATGCCGCTGTCGTTGGACATCACGGAGTGGCGGGGCATGGCGGAGGAGGAAGTGAGGTCGGCGGGGAGGTCGGCGAGGTCAAAGTCGGTCTCCTGGTCGAGGCAGAAGTGTTCCGACGACATGGAGCTGGAGCGCACACACTTGGCCAGCTCGCGCCCTGTTGGAAGACGTGACATCAGAGAAATAGGAATTAGATTACTGTATCGCTGTAAAATGTATGTCAATGCAGGTCAATGAGAACATGAAGCAGTGAGACAAAAAAGAGCTATAGTATTGGAAGTTCGCATTGGGTGAAACCCTTTTAACATACAGTGGGGTCCGAAATGATTGACACCCTTGATAAAGATTAGCAATAATGACTGTATAAAATAAATAATTAAAATAATGACAATAATAATCATCATCATCTTTGACCCTCTGTAGCTTTCTCACTCATCATTATTCACGATTCATTTAGGATTATCCATAATCATGGTAGCATCCACATTAATGTAGAAGTGTTCAGAAACATATTATATTCTTATTTACAATAAAAGTGACTCCAAAATGACACAATACATTATTTACCATTCATTTCTATTGGGCACAAAATAATCTGAAACACAACTAAAAACGAACTGCAAATGCATCCAATCGTTTGTAGAGTCGCAAGCTTGATGTAGTCATTGCGTACTAGGAATATGGGATCAAATACTAAACTTTTGACTACTTTATTTCTAAGAATCTTTAGGGGTGTCAATAATTTTGACCCCTACCCTTTTTGAGAAAAAAAGTATTATTTGTTATTAAACAGAGTAACAGAGTTGATGTAACAGAGTTCTCCCATTGGTGTGTACATGAGTTCCCATGGGTGTGTATAAACAACAGATCTCGCCACTCACAGATCTCCTCATCCTCCTGCCACAGGTGGAAGCTCATCTCCGGGTTGGGAAGTGGCGTGTCACACAGGGATCCCCCGCCACCGGACGACAATATGTCTAAACCAGGAAGAGCCCACACTGTCACAATGACACCAAAAACAACACAATACCCGCTTACTTCCTGGTCCCCCTGCCCTAAACTAAGTATATGGCTTCACAGCTGGTCTGTGAGAGAGGTCCATTTGAAGGATAGTTGTTATGATGAGAATAATAAATATGGATGAAAAGGGAAATACACTGTACATCCGTCTTAAAGGGTGGGGGGGGGGAGGAATACAGTGTGAAATATCAGCTGACCTATACAGCAATCTATTAATAACATTCCCAACATCAGTGACTGCTATAGAGCGATCTATTAATAACGTTCCCGAAGTTAGTGACTGCTGCACTGAACGGTATGTGTCAGCTTGAAGACACACCAACACAATTGACAGCATTGGCAGTATTTATCTGAATAAGCCCTATGTAAAAAATGTACAACTACTTATACAGTGGGAGAAAAAAGTATTTAGTCAGCCACCAATTGTGCAAGTTCTCCCATTTAAAAAGATGAGAGAGGCCTGTAATTTTCATCATAGGTACACGTCAACTATGACAGACAAAATGAGAAAAAATAATCCAGAAAATCACATTGTAGGATTTTTAATGAATTTATTTGCAAATTATGGTGGAAAATAAGTATTTGGTCAATAACTAAAGTTTCTCAATACTTTGTTATATACCCTTTGTTGGCAATGACACAGGTCAAACGTTTTCTGTAAGTCTTCACAAGGTTTTCACACACTGTTGCTGGTATTTTGGCCCATTCCTCCATGCAGATCTCCTCTAGAGCAGTGATGTTTTGGGGCTGTCGCTGGGCAACACGGACTTTCAACTCCCTCCAAAGATTTTCTATGGGGTTGAGATCTGGAGACTGGCTAGGCCACTCCAGGACCTTGAAATGGCTAGGCCACTCCTTCGTTGCCCGGGCGGTGTGTTTGGGATCATTGTCATGCTGAAAGACCCAGCCACGTTTCATCTTCAATGCTCTTGCTGATGGAAGGAGGTTTTCACTCAAAATCTCACGATACATGGCCCCATTCATTCTTTCCTTTACACGGATCAGTCGTCCTGGTCCCTTTGCAGAAAAACAGCCCCAAAGCATGATGTTTCCACCCCCATGCTTCACAGTAGGTATGGTGTTCTTTGGATGCAACTCAGCATTCTTTGTCCTCCAAACACGACGAGTTGAGTTTTTACCAAAAAGTTCTATTTTGGTTTCATCTGACCATATGACATTCTCCCAATCCTCTTCTGGATCATCCAAATGCACTCTAGCAAACTTCAGACGGGCCTGGACAGGGCTTAAGCAGGGGGACACGTCTGGCACTGCAGGATTTGAGTCCCTGGCGGCGTAGTGTGTTACTGATGGTAGGCGTTGTTACTTTGGTCCCAGCTCTCTGCAGGTCATTCACTAGGTCCCCCCGTGTGGTTCTGGGATTTTTGCTCACCGTTCTTGTGATCATTTTGACTCCACGGGGTGAGATCTTGCGTGGAGCCCCAGATCGAGGGAGATTATCAGTGGTCTTGCATGTCTTCCATTTCCTAATAATTGCTCCCACAGTTGATTTCTTCAAACCAAGCTGCTTACCTATTGCAGATTCAGTCTTCCCAGCCTGGTGCAGGTCTACAATTTTGTTTCTGGTGTCCTTTGACAGCTCTTTGGTCTTGGAGTTTGGAGTGTGACTGTTTGAGGTTGTGGACAGGTGTCTTTTATACTGATAACAAGTTCAAACAGGTGCCATTAATACAGGTAACGAGTGGAGGACAGAGGAGCCTCTTAAAGAAGAAGTTACAGGTCTGTGAGAGCCAGAAATCTTGCTTGTTTGTAGGTGACCAAATACTTATTTTCCACCATAATTTGCAAATAAATTCATAAAAAATCCTACAATGTGATTTTCTGGAGAAAAAAAATCTCAATTTGTCTGTCATAGTTGACGTGTACCTACAGTGAGGGAAAAAAAGTATTTGATCCCCTGCGGATTTTGTACGTTTGCCCACTGACAAAGAAATGATCAGTCTATAATTTTAATGGTAGGTTTATTTGAACAGTGAGAGACAGAATAACAACCAAAAAATCCATAAAAACGCATGTAAAAAATGTTATAAATTGATTTCCATTTTAATGAGGGAAATAAGTATTTGACCCCCTCTCAATCAGAAAGATTTCTGGCTCCCAGGTGTCTTTTATACAGGTAACGAGCTGAGATTAGGAGCACACTCTTAAAGGGAGTGCTCCTAATCTCAGTTTGTTACCTGTATAAAAGACACCTGTCCACAGAAGCAATCGATCAATCAGATTCCAAACTCTCCACCATGGCCAAGACCAAAGAGCTCTCCAAGGATGTCAGGGACAGGATTGTAGACCTACACAAGGCTGGAATAGGCTACAAGACCATCGCCAAGCAGCTTGGTGAGAAGGTGACAACAGTTGGTGCGATTATTCGCTAATGGAAGAAACACAAAAGCACTGTCAATCTCCCTCGGCCTGGGGCTCCATGCAAGATCTCACCTTGTGGAGTTGCAATGATCATGAGAACGGTGAGGATTCAGCCCAGAACTACACGGGAGGATCTTGTCAATGATCTCAAGGTAGCTGGGACCATAGTCACCAAGAAAACAATTGGTAACACACTACGCCGTGAAGGACTGAAATCCTGCAGCGCCCGCAAGGTCCCCCTGCTCAAGAAAGCACATATACAGGGCCGTCTGAAGTTTGCCAATGAACATCTGAATGATTCAGAGGAGAACTGGGTGAAAGTGTTGTGGTCAGATGAGACCAAAATCGAGCTCTTTGGCTCTGCCTGGATCGATGCTGCCTATGACCACAAGAACACCATCCCCACTGTCAAACATGGAGGTGGAAACATTATGCTTTGGGGGTGTTTTTCTGCTAAGGGGACAGGACAACTTCACCCCATCAAAGAGACGATGGACGGGGCCATGTACCGTCAAATCTTGGGTGAGAACCTCCTTCCCTCAGCCAGGGCATTGAAAATGGGTCGTGGATGGGTATTCCAGCATGACAATGACCCAAAACACATGGCCAAGGCAACAAAGGAGTGGCTCAATAAGAAGCACATTAAGGTCCTGGAGTAGCCTAGCCAGTCTCCAGACCTTAATCCCATAGAAAATCTGTGGAGGGAGCTGAAGGTTCGAGTTGCCAAACGTCAGCCTCGAAACCTTAATGACTTGGAGAAGATCTGCAAAGAGGAGTGGAACAAAATCCCTCCTGAGATGTGTGCAAACCTGGTGGCCAACTACAAGAAACGTCTGACCTCTGTGATTGTCAACAAGGGTTTTGCCACCAAGTACTAAGTCATGTTTTGCAGAGGGGTCAAATACTTATTTCCCTCATTAAAATGCAAATGAATTTATAACATTTTTGACATGCGTTTTTATGGATTTCTTTGTTGTTATTCTGTCTCTCACTGTTCAAATAAACCTACAATTAAAATTATAGACTGATCATGTCTTTGTCAGTGGGCAAACGTACAAAATCAGCAGGGGATCAAATACTTTTTTCCCTCACTGTATGATGAAAATTACAGGCCTCTCTCATCTTTTTAAGTGGGAGAACTTGCACAATTGGTGGCTGACTAAATACATTTTTTCCCCACTGTATACATGTACCAGCTGTAATCTATAGTACCCCTCCATGTTCACTTGTCAAAAGATGACCCCTCTATGATAAGGATACAGTACCTGATGTGTCAGTATGGGTGAGGATCTCTCTGTAGAGTTGTCCCAGTCTCCCCCTCAGCATCACCCCCTCCCCCTTGCTGCCCTCCTCCACACTCTGCTCCAGACTGGCCACCACTTCCTGGAAGTACGGCTCCACGTCCTGGCCCATTTCCTGCCACACACACACACGCACAAACAGACACACACGTGGAGACACATGGATGCGGACGGACAGACACACACACACACACACCGTCTATCAATAGAATACAGGTGAAAGGCCACCAGTGTCCAGACAAACACATCTGGAAGTCTGAGTTTGAGACATCCTGTTGAGATGAGTGTTATATTAGGACCAGTGTGTGTAAGTATGTGTGTGTGTGTTTTATTAAGAATGGTGCCAACCTCTGTTAGATCATGGAACAACACAACTAAACAACACATTGTTGAGTCATTATAGATAATCTCTGGTTAAGTGTGTTGCTGAATATGACTGAGATGGCATGTATGAGGCACCAGTAGAGACCTTCTAGCTTACTGAGCTTTGCTACAAAGGGGATTGCGCAATACACTGAAATAGAAACTAGTATCAAACACAAAGTGATATTGATTTAGATAACTTTGAACAAACTTTGAACACAGCAACATTTGTGAAATGACACGACAAAACCAAAGTCAAACCGAAGTAAACATCAAAGTAACTATCAAGACCATAAAACAGGTTTCTTTACTCTAGAACAGAAGTCAAACCCAAAAGGTTTTTCTACGGTGTAAAAAGTGCTGTATATGTAAAATGTGTGTACAATGTACATGTAAAAAAAAAAAAAAATTATATAAAAACGAAGTTCCTTTTGTTCTCCGAAGAGGGGTGGATGGACAAATAAAGAAATAAAACAAAGTAAAAGAAGGGTTTTAACAATAACTTTTACCCTGAAACCCATCATCACATACGCATAGCGAAAGAACAAAGACTTGAACAGAAGAAGAAACATCATAGTGAAACTCAATGTTGGGCTGTGTGACATGAATCACATACAAACATAAACCCAACTGCAGCGCAACCGCAAGCACACTGACCTTCAGTACCTGTGCCAGTTTATGACTGTGGCACAGCTCCCCACCTAGAGCAGCCTGGATGGAGTGTTGGACCACGCTCCGCATGTAGTCAAGGGGGTTCAGATACCCCCCTGACCCTGAGGCCTCGATGTCCCACCTCAGCGCCCCACCGAGGGGGCCGGAGAAGACCGCCGGATCGGCGAACACAAACACCCTAGGAGACCATAGGAGAGATTGAGTTATTGCCTTTGGTTATCCTTGATTAACCAGTTCCCTGATTGTTTGGTTGGCAGTTCACATGCAAGCTTCTGTTATTACAAGCTACTTTATCTACAAACAGCATATCATTCTATACCATAAGGAAAAATGGCTTCTCTCTGTGTCACCGTGTGTATACAACATCAAGTTAGGTTGTTCTCTCACCTCTCCTGAAACGGATGGTAGACATTCTTCAAGCTCTGCTCTGCTACAACCATCCTCTGATACAGCACTCCTGTGGGTCAAAAATATTTACTATCCAGATAAAACACATGACATTCTCGTACTACAGCCATTGAATACATTGAAACAAACATCCCTCTTCATTATAAAGTGTATTACAGTAAAACGATGATCACCTATGAAGACAGTAAATTCTACCAATAAAGTCTTATCTAATACATAATAAAAAATACATCATTCGACATGCTAGACCAAGGATGTATGTTGGTTTCAGTACCTGGTGTGTAGCGTTCTGTCTTCATGCGTCTGGTGTAGCTGAGGCCGACAGTACAGTAGGGCTGGGGGAGGGTAAGTAGCCTCTTACAGAAGTCATACACCCGCTCGTACAGGTCGTCAGGAAGATATGCTGACTGGAACATACACAGATATACGCACAGTTAGCACTGTCAGTCAGTCACAGCTGTCCTAAGACTGAACTAAACCACCAAACACAATTGGTATGGTACACACAACCCTCAAATACAGTATGGTACTATTTCCCTCCATAAATACTTGCACAAACTTCCCAAAACAAGCAATCGTTAATGGTTTGTAATATTCTATTATTTTCTATCCCATTCTATTATATTCTATCCCATTCTATTATATTCTACTGTAATGAACCGGTAACAACAAGAACTGTCTCTTTAAGACACTAACAGATAAAGAAGAGATAAAGGTCTACTACAGGACAGAGTCCTGACCTAGCCTGACCAGGAAGTATAAGAGACGATTAACAGGAAGTAAGACTTCATCAAATCTGAGATCATCAAAACAGTGATAGGAAATGATCCAATCCCCCAAATTAAAGCTCCTCCCCAGCCAACCCTGAGACAGGTCGGTCTGTAAAGATGGTGTTATCATGTCTGACAGGTGTTTCTTTGTGTAATGTAAGCCCCAGAACCTACCTGTATGACAGCATAGATGAGTGTGTGGAGCAGGGGGATGATGTGTATCCGACAATCTACCCTCTCAGCCTGCAGACAACAAGAGACAAACACACAAACTGTGTCAGTCAGTTACTCACTAATACAAAGTTTGTCTGTAGAAGATAGCTTGTCTGTTACCACCAGGGGCGGACTGGGACCAGAAATCGGCCCTGGCATTTCTAACACATTGGACAATTATTTTCCTTGAGGCCTCCACACAGGCCCATTATTAGCAAGTTAATGATCATTTTGCGTAAAAAAAAACAAGTTTGACAGACCCACTGTGCTAAAAATAAACCAATCCATCTGGCATTTGCCTGAAATGCCTGATGGCCAATCCGCCCCTGGTTCCACTAGACATAACATTCATGTTTCACATCGTTGCACAATGTCCTTGACAATCTCTGTGTTCTTTTCATCTGTGGCAAACAAGTTTATTTGGGTAGCAATCGTTGATTGTCTTATCATGTTTCTTGACACTACAGTGAAATCTAACGTACCATATGCACTGGATACACTCCAAATGGAATGACTAATAATAAATGGCCCAGAGCCGTATATTTCTCCATATAAGGCCACGGAATGGTCTAATGGCACACATTGATGACATACCTTTTCCAGCTCCTTGACGACGACTCTCACCAGAATGAGACTGTTGGCAGGATTGTTCCGAACCTTCTTGTGCAGCGTCCATCTTAGCATCCCTTCAAATGGAAAAACACACACTCAGCACAAACATTTCCACAGACATGGCGCTAAACAGCACTCACACTCTCCGTTGTTTCCATAGCTCTACACAAATAGCTGGTGTGACTCAGTGTCAATGCTTTGTTCCATTGCACAACTAATCCAAACTGTGGCTAAAACAAATAGCTGACTAAGTGCAATTTTCCGATTATTGGCAGGCAGCGTTACGTGTCATCCTCATGTGGTTTGGGCAGATTGATAAGGCCTGGTTGGCACATTAAAGAGGATCAAGTCAGGGACCTTTAGACCATTTTAGACCTAGATGCTTTGTATGTAAGGCACAGGCGGCTGGTGGCACATTAATTGGGGAGGACAGGCTGGAATGTAATGAATGGAACGGGTCTCCCGAGAGGCGCAGCGGTCTAAGGCACTGCATCGCAGTGCTAGAGGCGTCACTACAGACCCGGGTTCGATCCCGGGCTGTATCACAACCGGCCGTGATCGGGAGTCCCATCGGGCGGCGCACAATTGGCCCAGCGTTGTCCGGGTTAGGGCAGGGTTTGGCCGGGGGGGGCTTTACTTGGCTCATCGCGCTCTAGCGACTCCTTGTGGTGGGCCAGGCGCCTGCAGGCTGACATCGGTCGTCAGTTGAACGGTGTTTCCTCCGACACATTGGTGCGGCTGGCTTCCAGGTTAAGAGGGCGGGTGTTAAGAAGCGCATTTTGGCGGACGCATGACTCGACCTTCGCCTCCCGAGCCCTTGCAGAGACAAGATCAAAATTGGGGAGAAAAAGGGGGTAAAATACAAAAAAATAATAAGAAAAATGAATAAATGGAACGGTAACAAACACGTTCCATTCCATTCACTTCATTCCAGCCATTATTATGAGCCGTCCTCCCCTCACCAGCCTCTTGTGATGTAAGGGTACCCATATGTATCTTTATTAAGCTTAGGGTCAGTAATGTGGGGGTTACTTGATGAAGCTTGCTATGCATCTAGCTAGCACTACCAGTTGAAGCTAGCCCGCTAGCGACACCCCTGACCAAACCAGACTGGAAATAAGCAATGTGCAACAAAAGCAGGCTGACTTTATACGGAGCCATGCTCACACAACAGTGTGTAAACCCTATAAAGAGTCTAGTGGAAACTACTGGTGGGTTTACCTTTATTGTGCACAGAGGAGGGGTGTTGGCTCTCCAGCTCCCTGAGCACGGCCTGGACGCTGCGGTAGATGTCCGACTCTGAGGCCGAGGGGGCACAGCTTCCTGGAGGGTCAGAAGTTAGGAGTTAATGTTAATAAAAGTCCTACAGCAAATGTTCCATTTTGGATCAAATGTACATGCATGCCACTGTTGAAATCGTGGCGCGTCAAATGACACCCTATTCCCTATATAGTACCTATAGGCTCCATGCTGTTCGTGGGGCTTCTCAAGCTATCCCAGGCTGCCTTGTTGGTCATGTCTCACATGCATGGTGGGGACACGGCCTGGTGTCTATAGGGACGGGGCAGGAAGAAAGTAAAAGCTGTTAGCGGCACCCACCGGAGGGATGACATGGGCTTTTAACCAGGAAAAAGGCTATAGACCTAAATGATATACTGAACATTCTTGTGGCACAGAGGTGTTAGAACCAGTGACCTGACCACGAAAAACACACACACACACGTACACACACACACACACACACACAACCCTGAGCTATAACACTAACCATAATGAGTTTCAGCAGCAGGTGCTGCGGTCACAGTCACAGTACTGTTCAAATAGAGCATGGCTGATCGTTCTCATTGCCTCATAAACAACCTCTCTCTCTGCTTCTCTTTCTCACAGTCTAGTTTATCATCGCACAAATAGAATTATACCCCGTCCCACATGTTCGTTTTTTGGCGTTCGGTAGAGATAAGTCATCTACCCACCTGTTTCTCACAATCCCCCATAACAAAGGCTAAAATGACAGGGTGTATTGAGGTCTATGGGACAGCTTCACTCATCACATGTAAAATGGCCAATCATGTCAAATGAAAGTTCCCAACAGTGAAAGACGATGACTTCTTGATACTCAGATCTGTGATGAGTACACTGACAGTATACACGCAGGATGCATCATCACAACACAAGACAGATCTAGTGAACTAGTGAAACTGCTGTGGAGTTATAAACATGAGCATAAAAAAGTGTATTACTGTAACTTGCCTTAGAGATAGATACCAGAGTGAAAGAAAATAAAAGTAATTTTCAATTTGAATTAAATTGCCAAATAGAATATGCTGCATTGTTTCTGCAACAACTATACCACCAACTTGACTTTCACCACATGCCTCAGCTAACAGCATACTAAGACATTTACAAAAGTGAAACATACTCAGTATAATTAACTGTATCACTTCCTCAGTTTTGAATAGCCTGACCCAGAATGACACTGCTGAAATGAATGAATGTCACCATACTGATATAAAAACAGTTGGTCTATAAAGTTGCACCAAATGTTCTGTTGAAACATTTCCGATCCAGTCAAAACTTGGAAAGAAAGGACTATCTGACAAACTCTGTAACAGTTCCCTAAGCCAGAGGCAGAGAGCATGCCAAAATGTCTCTCTTGCTCTCTCTCTATCTCAAAACTCTCTCTCTCAATGTTAGTTCTCATACTGAAAGTTCACAGTTCTATCCCAGACACATCCACCATCCAGTACCTACCCACCAAAGCACACAAAACAGGTGAACCGCCAAAAAAACAAATCCCCCTACCTTTTCCCTCCCAGAAAGGTTCCTCTTTTCCGTGATACACAAAAGGTTCCCTGAGGTGTTTAATATCTGACACACTGGCTCAGTGTTCAACGTGCTGCTGCAGGGTCTGACAGAGAGAATAGTGAAGTGAATTTACTGAGTGAACTTCCTCTAACTGGGAGGTAGTGACGAGGTGGTGGTGGTGACAGAGAGAGGAGCAGTGTTCTGAGAGAGGGGGAGCGAGAGAAAGAGGTAGCAGTGTTCTGAGAGAGGGGGGGAGAGAGAGAGAGGTAGAGGGGGAGGAGGAAAGTGAGCTGGAGGTTTGGAGGAGGATGTTTGGGGGTGAGGTAACAGCAGCAACCTGTTTGAACTGTGTTTAATGTTGCATTCTCTCTCTCTCTCTTTTTGTCTTTCCGTTTTCTTGTATCTCTCTTTGTGCTGATCTTTTTCTCATCTTTTTCTCCCTCTCTTTCTCCCACTCCCTCAGGCTGTCCTGGGGGTTGTTCCTGAGGCTACAGTAGCAAAATGGAGGTTTAGTTTGAGGGATCCCTGCAAGAAAAGCACAACACGGGGAAGAACAGCAACAGGGACAACAGCGCTGCCTCAGCAACTGACTGGGTGACCACACGTTTCCTGTCGCTGATGCACCCCTCTCTCTTTCGCTCTCTTTCTGACTCTTGGTCTGTCTCTCTCTCACTCGTTCTCTCTTTCTACACTGTCCTTCACTCCCTCTGCCTTTCTCTCTCTCCATCCTCCCTCACTCTCTCTCCCCCTCATTCTCTCTCTTCAACACTCTCCATCTCTCACACACACACACTAACATATTGTTTTTTTTAACACCTATTTGTGCGGAGGGAGGACAGGACCTGCAACATTTCCTGTCTGTGTGAATGCGTAGGCCTACACCACGCTCAACAGGCTATATTTAGGTTGGAGCCCCAGAGGTGTGTGTGTGTGTGTGTGTGTGTATATGTGTGTGTGTGCCCCAGATGTTTCATTCATGTGTTGCCAAATGAAGAGCCTAAAAATAGTCAGAAATGTCCATTTCAGCACTAAGTGAGCATGTCCTTGCAAACGGAGGGAGGAAAGTGTACGTGTCGCAACAATGAGTGATCTTTTTAATCTTCAACATAGGAATGCTACCAAAAAGAACTTAATGAAACTGGTTACAATTGACGGAGTCACCCATAATTCACCAAATGATATTTTGAAGGAAGAAACAAAGTACTTTAAGCATATGTTGTTTTCTTTTCAGTCGCCTCCATCTCCTCTAACTGAAGCTAATTGTAGAGATTTTTTTTCTATTGATAATGTCAAATTAACAGCCACACAGAAAGACTCATGTGAAGGTGAAATTACAGAGGAGGAACTTCTGGATGCAATTAAAGACTTTAAGTCTGGGAAAACTCCAGGGTTGGATGGCATACCAGTCGAGGTATACCAAACCTTTTTTGATATACTAAGAGGACCGTTATTAGCATGTTTTAACCACTCCTATGTAAATGGTAGATTATCTGACACTCAAGAAGAAGGTCTGATCTCATTATTACTGAAACAGGATACAAGTGAAAAATATAAAGATCCAGTCCATTTACAAAATTGGAGGCCCCTTACACTTCAGTGTTGTGATGCAAAAATCCTAGCAAAATGTATAGCGCATAGAATTAAAAAGGTATTGTCGGATATTATTCATTCTAATCAGACAGGTTTTTTACATGGAAGATACATTGGAGATAATATAAGGCAAGTATTGGAAACAACACTATGGAAAATATGGGAAACCAGGCCTGCTATTCATAGCAGACTTCGAAAAGGCATTTGATAAAGTTCGACTGGGGTTTATATATAAATGCCTGGAGCATTTCAATTTTGGAGAATCTCTTATAAAACGGGTCAAAATCATGTATAGTAACCCTAGGTGTAAAATAGTAAATAATGGCTATTTCTCAGAAAGTTTTAAACTGTCAAGAGGAGTGAAACAAGGTTGTCCACTATCGGCATATCTATTTATTGTGGCCATCGAGATGTTAGCTATTAAAATCAGATCCAATAATAATATCAGAGGATTAGAAATACAGGACTTAAAAACAAAGGTGTCATTGTACGCTGATGATTCATGTTTTCTTTTAAATCCACAACTAGAATCCCTCCACAGCCTCATAGAGGATCTAGATACATTTTCTAACCTCTCTGGATTACAACCAAATTATATATTTATATTTTTTATTTAGCAGACGCTCTTGTCCAGAGCGATTTACAGGAGCAATTAGGGTTAAGTGCCTTGCTCAAGGGCACATCGACAGATTTTTCACCTAGTCGGCTCAGGGATTAGAACCAGCGACCTTTCGGTTACTGGCACAACGCTCTTAACCACTAAGCTACCTGCCGCCCCACATTATGACAAATTTACTATATTACGTATTGGATCACTAAAAAATACAATTTTTACATTACCATGTAGTTTACCAATAAAATGGTCTGATGGTGATGTGGATATACTCGGAATACATATCCCAAAGGAAATAAATGATCTCACTTCAATAAATTTTAATAGAAAGTTAGCAAAAATAGATAAGATCTTACTACCATGGAAAGGAAAATACCTGTCAATTTGTGGAAAAATCACCCTGATTAACTCTTTAGTATTATCCCAGTTTACCTATTTGCTTATGGTCTTGCCTACGCCTAGCGAACAGTTTTTTAAATTATATGAGAAACAAATATTCAATTTTATTTGGAACGGCAAGCCAGACAAAATTAAAAGAGCATATTTATATAATGAATATGAATTCGGAGGACATAAATGATTAAATATTAAAGCATTAGACCTATCACTAAAAGCTTCAGTCATACAAAAGTTATACTTAAATCCGAACTGGTTCTCAAGCAAATTAGTAAGATTGTCTCACCCAATGTTCAAGAAAGGCCTTTTTCCCTTTATTCAGATTACAACCTCTCACTTTCAGTTATTTGAAAAGGAAATAATCTCCCAAATGTCACTATTTCTAAAACAAGCCATAGAAAGTTGGTTGCAATTTCAATTTAATCCTCCAGAAACGACAGAACAAATAATGCAACAAATATTGTGGTTAAATTCAAATATACTAATTGACAAAAAAACTTTATTTTTTGACAGAATGTTTAAAAAAGGTATAATCTTCGTAAATGATATCATCGGTAGGACTGGTGGAGTTATGTCGCACATGCAGCTGACAAAAACATATGGAAATGTCTGCTCTACCCAAAATTACAACCAAATAATTGCAGCCTTACCGCAAAAGTGGAAGAGGAAAGTGGAAGGGGGAGAAAGTAAGGAACTTGTCTGTCGGCCTTGCATTAAAGAACATAATTGGTTAAGGAAAACTGTGATAAATAAAAAAGTATATCAGTTTCACTTAAGGACCAAAGGATTGACAGCCGTCCCATATAGATTGCAAAATAGTTGGGAAGAGATCTTTGACGTACCGATCCCATGGCATAGTGTTTATGAACTGACACGCAAAACGACACCGGATTCAAAAATTAGAATCTTTCAATTTAAATTATTATATAAAATTCTTGCTACCAATAGAATGTTATTTATATGGGGGATACAATCTTCCCAGCTCTGCAGATTTTGCTGTGAAGAGACAGAATCATTAGATCATTTGTTTTGGTTCTGTCCATTTGTAGCTTGTTTTTGGACACAGGTCCAGGAATGGCTAAAGGATTGCAATATTTACCTGGAACTAACCTTGCAGATAGCATTACTGGGTGATCTGAAAAGTCATAGTCAATCAATCAATAATATAATAATACTTTTAGCAATTTTTTTTATTTTTAATTCACAATCTGTAGAAGCAATGAGAATAGAAAGGTTCAGAACTTTTTTTAAACATCACAGTACGCTTAAAATATATATGGCAAATAGAAATCCTGTATGGATGGTGTTAAGAGATCGATGGGAGGTATTGAATAGAGTTGAAGGATGGGACTGATAACAAATAACAACAAATAATAACAAAGATAGCTAATAATGTAAGCATACTGTGTCCATAATAAGTATATAGGTTGTATGTTGGGAGCTTTTGGGAAAGAGCACAGTTAGAAAGATATGGCATATAGAAGCAAACCGGATGGACATCATGAAAATGATCGGAGAGGTTGAGAGTAGAAGAAGTTCAGGAGCAATAAAAATTAAAAATAATATATATATATATAATAGAATTATTGTAAAATTAACTCTGTCCATAAGGTGTAGGTAGTAAGTATAGACCGGAAGTAGAGGCCTGGGCATTGTTGTTCACTAATTTACTCCAAGTAGGGAAAGGATGGTGGGGTTGAAAAGTAATAAAGGGGAGTATATATATAAAAATAAAAAATAAAAATAAAAAAAACATGGGGGATTGGAAGTGATGCAGACAATTACATTGATAGAAGATACAATCTATCTGCAATATTAAGCTGATCCATCCCCCCCCCCCCCCCCCCAAAAAAAAAAAAAAAAAAAAAAAAAAAAAAGAGTGATCTGCAAGACAATTATAGGTGTGTATATCGTTTAGATGTGATATGGGTGTGGCAAGTGGCACACAACTAGAGCTCTGCCTGTGGATGACATTTGGAGCTTTTGTAAATTGTGCATGAGATATGGAGCTTTGATAAGAGTAGCCAAAACCAATGGTAAAAGCATGTACTTTAGCAACTTGTACTTCAAGAAAGAAGTACAAGACTGAAGTCCAAGTTTGCAGTGAGTGGTCCACCACCGGGACCACAAAACCCCAAGCCTCAGGTGGACATGAACACTCACAAACAATGTGCTACAATACTTTAGGTGGAGTCAATCAAACATACCCTTATCAGACTGTATAATTGTACATGGTACATGGCTAAAAACAGACTGCGTTTTCCCAGCTAGCCACACCCCTTTCACATGATCACATACCTGTAAACACCCGACAGTACGTGCAGGGCTACTCAAGTGTATGACTAAGGTTTCATACACACGCATGCATGAACGCACGCACACGCACCCTATAAAGACTACTGTGCATGACTATAGAGGTGTAGAGTCCATGGCTGAGATTTCATTTATGACCAGGGCATCTTAAGTCTAGTAGGCCTAGTCATTGTAATCAGTTTATGTGTG